GTCTATGGCTGATTTCACGGTACAATTAAGTGAGCTGAATATTTTGACAGACTCCCTCAAGGCTTAAATGATTTACTATCTGGCTTATTACAGAAAGTAATCTGCATATGGGAACCATATATTGTTATATTCATCTCTGTTTTCATATGCTTATCAGTGTTTATCCATAGTTGCTTAATAAGTGATTGTCCAAAGAAAAGATAGAAACGAGGTCTAAGGTCTGGTCTGCCAAATACGCGCCTGAATTTTATTTTCAGTAGGTCTGATATTAGCCAGTATTGTGAAGTATGTGAATTCGTTTTCTCTTGGTTGAGCGAAGACCTGGTTACAGGGGGTTAGAGCAGCCTGCTTACCTTGCTCTCTGCAATGATTCTTAGCACAGTGCTGTTCCTCATCTGCTACCATTCAGCATTCTTAGGTTTCAGGATCTCTAACTGCTTTCCATATCTATCATCATGTTCCCAAGGTCTCATCCAGATTTGTCTTATGGACTCTATCTTGTGGTTTATTTATGTCAACGTGGTTAAATGTTGGGGTCTTAATGTGAGGCAGCCCTAAGTGTGACTCTTGACTGTGTGACCCTTGTTTTACTGCTCACTGTCTCTGTGTGTTGGTTTCTGCATCTACAAAATGGGAAGAATAGTACATACCTCATAGGATCCTTAGAGGGGGAAAAAAGAGATAATGCCTGTAAAACACTAAGCAAGGCACTGGGCTTAGGAATAGTAATTGCCTGCTTAAAGGGTATCTATTACTATAGTCATCATAGCTATCATAGTACCGTAAGAGGTCTCATTGACTAGTCCCTTAAAGGCAGGGGCTCCCATCCTAAGTCAGTTCTGTATCCCCGCCATGCCTAGCCTATAGTGGACTTTCAATATGTATTAGTTGCCAGAATTGTCGCATTCTCCCTAAATGAAGCTCATGGCAGGGATGTAGTTGGCAAGCCCCTCCCCCCACCCTTAAATCACACTCTCCACTGCTTGCTTCCCTAGGCATTTGGGTGTTAATCGAGGCCATATATCAAAATAGGCACTGACATATGTGGTAATTTCACCAGCCTTGGGGCCATCACAAATTAATGTGTCTACATCCTCCAAATGAACAGTAACTTTATTAAAATTCCCACCTGTGACCAATGCATAGTGCATTTTCTTTTTTTCTTTTGAAAAAAGAAATTGCCACGATGGTGGTATTTCCACACTTGCCTCAACAAGTCTAACTTGCTAAGCTAGTGATTAGAGTCAAATCCCAAGGATATGCAAAAAAGCCCAGACTCCCAATATTTGACAGGAAAATAAAGTAGAAAAGGCATTGTGAAGCTGGTGACCATATTTCCTGCTTCAACACTACACTGGGCTCAGGGACTGTGATGTTAGCCTGGGAATAAGGCACCGTGTTTTGGCAATGTAATTGTATTAATAAAATGCCACTGCACAGAGCCTCCCAGTCCAGCATGTCTGCACTTGGCCATTTCCATTAATTTATTAACACTGTCCTCCAGATGCTAAATGGGATAGACAGGTCAGCAAGTGAAAGATCACCGTGTGGCCGTGTCAAAACCCTTGTCGGTTTGACAGCAATCAACCAAGGATCTGGGGTTCTGGTTAAAGATCAGGTCTGAGGAGGCAAGATCAGCAACAAAGCTTGAGGAGCAGGAGTTTCAGCTTCCCGAGCTCCTGCCTCCATTTTTTTCTGCCCTGTGCCTGGCTGTTCTAATCTCACAGCGGCTGATTTCTTTATACCCACATGCATATGGATTTGAGTCCTGCCTGTTATTTACTAGCTCTGTGCATCGATGATTTACATTAAGCTTCAATTTCCTCATCTCTATAATAAGGATGATAACAATAGATATCCAAGAGGGTGGTTGTATAAAATTAATAGGAAATGCACACAAATCAGAGCATAATGCCTGACATGTAGTTGGTGGGCGAGAAATGGTATTTCTGCTGCTGTAACCGTTATTATGATAATTACTAAGAAAGTCAGTGGGGAAAATGTTGTGCAAGGGCAAAGAGATGAGTTTCATGGTTGATTTAAAGATACATTTGAGAACATTCCGGCTATGTTTTAAGCATGGCGGGGTTTGTAGGTGTCAATTATGACTCAAGACAGAGAACTGTGTTGTGGCCTGCAGGTTAAGGTCAACACTCACTCCCCGCAAGATACTGATGAGATCCAAAAACGGCCAGCAAATTACAGGATTATCTTTGAAAAAGCATTGACTGTAAAAGAGAAGTATTATCTAATGCAAATTTATTTTGTGTCCAGCCTAGAAATCTGGGTCTTATCTGTCAGATTGACTTGAGTGGCCTGAATCCTGGCTCTGTAATTTATTAGCTTGTGGCCTTGGACAAGCTACTTAAATTCTGTGAGTTTACCTGTTTTAACCTTTAAAATAGAAATTCTAATAGTGTCTTCCCCATGGGATTCCTGTGAGGATCGTGCACATAAATGAGTTCACTTTATCCTTGGCACATAGTACCCAGTGACTGTTGTTATTTGAAATCTCCCAAATCATGTTGAACAGAAGCAACACTAAATCTTTTATATCCTGGAAAAATTGAACAGGGAGGGGTTTACAGCAGGTCATTCAGTAAGATCATTTACTTCAATATTGCTGTGTCATACAAAGTTGAGGCAAAGGAATACTGACTGAATGAGGACCTGGTTTCATTATACATTTCATTTAAAGTACTGTTTTCAAGAACCTATAAATGATCGTAAATGAGGATTTAATGAATACACAGGTGAAGGTAATCTAAATAAGTGGCTGTCTGATTTAAATGACAAATAGTAAACCTCTAGTCTTCATGTTATTTGAGGTGTTAACAGAATGAAAGCAGATTTAGTAAAGGACTCAGGCATGATGGAATCACCATGGATAACTAAGGGAACAGGACATTTGATAGTTATTGATATCCCCATGGTTAATGTAAAAGAGATCAAGGTTGTCTTCCTATAAATGTTCATCAGAGTCAGATTGCTGGACTGGAAATTCCTTGAGGTTGATACAGTGGGGGCAGTTCTCAAATTTAAATAGCTAACTAGCTGCAGTCTGAATTAATCAAACTCTAATTTTAATCTTGATTTTCCCATGACAATGGTAGTTAACAACCATCAGAAGTCTTTAAAGTGCTTGTCGTCTTCTAGCATTGTGCAAACATTATAAACATCATTGAGCTATTGTTCAGAAAGATTCAATAGCTTTGAATGAAGAACTACAGAAATATGGAGCCCTTGATAGCCAGAAACCTTTGTTAGATCCTGATTCAACAAGCAAGAGCCTACCCAGTTAGATTATAGATGCAGTGCATTTTTAGATGTCAAAGAATTTTCAAGAACCCATTAGGAAAACAAATGAAATTTAAAAGTCCTGTAAGGCATTGCTATGTTCTGTGCTTCCTTTGTAGGCTACTGACCAGATATGAATTGTGACAAGTAGCTGTGTGAACTTGCTGTATTGAGTGGTTATGTGAGGTGTAATTGAGTTAGGCAGGCTAGACAGGAGGGTTAGGGTTAACTCTTTCCTGGGTCAGAAATCAAGTGACTCTGGCATTAGAAAAGTACTGGTCTCAAATCATGGCCATATCGCTTACTAGCTGTGTGACACTAGAGCAGGTCAGTTAAACATTCAGAACCATCATTTTATCACCTTTAAACTGAATTTAAAACATCTATGTACTTAAAGGTGATAAGCATTAGCTGCTAGAAGTAGATTTTCCATTTTTCAGTAATGCAAAGTGAGTATCATTAACCAGTTGATTAACAAAATTAGCCAATGTCTGGCATAAAGTTGGCCTTCAACAGCTACTAGCTTCTCTTTCTTTAGCTTACAGATATATTTTATGCCCCTAAAGGATGTCTTCTATACATAAAGAAAATGAAATTGTTTTTATTTATTTTCTTATATCGTTGCAGTCCCTATAGAAAATGAAATTCAATGCGGTCATCCACTAGGTTATAATGAATCAAATGGAGTTGTTGGAATACAGTCACAGCCAGCTTATTGCTGAGCTGAACAGATAAGCAAACCAGTGTCATGTAAAGTATGAAATATAAATCAATGAGCAGGAAGCAGGCTAAAGTAGATCCAAGAATCAAAGCCAATACCAGGAAGTCATACCAATGATTTAGAGCCTGAATGCTCAAAGTTGTATGGTCTTGGTACCAAAATAGTTCTGCTGACACTTGTAAAAGATGTAACTCACTTCTGGGAATTTTGTTTACAAAATGTAGGCAGTGACTCTTACACCAAGTGTTAATGAAGCTACATGACACCATATTGAAATTTTTCCATTCTCTTGGCCAAAACATGCTTGAGGCATCATAGGGAGACAATGAAATATGGTCACCAATGAAGGAGGCTTTAATTTGCCAAGATGTTGGCATATCCTAAATTTCTGTTTTGTTTGAGGTGATTATTGTAGTCATAAGGAAGATGAGACTGGAAACTGGTGTCTTACTACCATGAATAGAGTTGAGGACAGCAACAGCAGGAGTCCTATGTTTTTCTATCTGTATATAACAGAGGTGGTAACAAACCATGCTCACACTCCTGCCTCTGAGAAGGTGTGTGACGAGAACTCATGTCCACAGTCATGTGCTAAGTCTTCATCCATGGTATTATGTAGGCAGTGACTGATGTTTGGACTAACCTATGTAGTATTGTCAGTAGGGTTTATTTATTGCAGTTACCATAGTGCTGAGTGTGAGTGAAATTAGTGTAGAAGTGAACACTACTAATCCAACTAGGAATTGTAGTCAAGTTGTTTACCAATGAGATCAATAAGAGAAGTTGACTGCTGAGTCATTGCTCCCACAGAGGCCAATATGTGGTGGTTCTCACCATGGTGCTGTCTTTGCATAGGGACAAACATTTTCCATTGTGCTGTGATTAGGGGTGATTAGGATCTGGAGGATCAATGCTATTAAAACACACACACTTACAAATTGATGTATAAACCAAGAACCAATTTATTCATTGATGAGAATTAACTGTCAAGCAGGCTAGAACATTTAGGCCAACTGGTTAGCAAATTTTCTCCCTGTAACTAAGTTTACGTGGGAAAGTTACTACAGAGCAAAAGGAGTTAGGCAATGATCTTTACGGCTCATGACACAAAATGGGGGACTCATATGTCTATCCTCCCATATGTGGACTTGCCAATCCTCTGCCGGTCACCATATCTCTAAATCTAGAGATTAGCAGTGTTCCATGACACTTTTTGCCCCCTTTTCTATAATCCATGCACAAAGTTCTCTTGTTAACAATTTCTTCTCCAGACTTAGTATAAAATGATTAGATTTTAGATTTTATCTGCTTGGTGGCATCAATCATGTAATAAATCTGCCTCCCTAAACCTTGAGTGGGTCCGGGTGTTTGTTGAGGGGGGTGATATACCCCAAGCCATTGTGAACGACATCTTGGAGTAGTTGCATCTCTACAATTTAATTGTTAAATTATTCTAATTATGACATTGGTTTACATTACTGTATATGTTTTGGCAATATAGTTTCACATCTCGTCAAATGTATGTTCTTGGTAGATTTAAATTGCTTTCATTCTCAGAAATTTCTGTAGGTATTAGTTCTGACACCTTCATAGAAGTCTATGTTAATGAGTTCACACTATTTGAAGTGGATAGTATCATAATAAAATTTTGAAGTGGTAAACAAAATGGGTGCTAGAGAGTAGTCAGTAAAGCATTATTCCATATATATTCATACCTCCAAGGTGTGTATTGGATTTAGCACATAGAGAACAAGGGATTTTGAAAAGTAGGAGGTGAATTGAACATAAATGTCCAAAATAATTACCTGTTTGCAGAGGCTATGAAATATGATTTCTCAGGGAAGGTGGCAATGTTGCTGGAGAAGGAAGGTCCAAAGAGGAAGTAAAATCGTGCATCTTTGTGCAAGACCACAGATAAAAAAAGATCGTGATGAAGCCAACAGGATATTCCTATCAGAATTCTAGGACCACACTGGGATTGCTAAGGAGACTGATTGGAGTCCATTGGTTTAGTCCCTCATGACACTAGTAGTGCTTGATCAGACTATCTCTAGACTATCTCCAGGTAGTCCCAGAGTCACTTGAATTTCCAAAAGATCTACCTGCTAGAGGATCTCACACAATCCCAATATCCTATTGAAAGTTTCTTTGCAGAACTGGAATATATGCAAGGTGTCTGTCATGAGCATATGGAATAAAGAACATACTGTACAACAAACTATTAATAAAGGGCCTTTGTGAATGCAAATAAAAATTTGCACAGTGGTTGGTGGGGCATTAATGGGTGAATATATCTGTTAGTGCTTCAGGATGAGAGTAGTAAGGTGCTAGTTGGATTTAACTATTGTCAAAATTGGCATTCTCCAGAAACAAGGTCAATGTATAATTGCACTTAAATATCCTCATAGGCCTTGATGGCTGGTGGGGAGTATGAGATTAGTGATCTTTCTTCAAGAGACCCATTATGGAGACATATCAGCACCAAGGAGCAGGCAAAAGGGCACCAGTAATTACCAGCAAGTGCTGATCATCAACTGATATCCATAATATTGTAGAACTGTGCAGGAATGTTTAAATGGCAACACAATGCATAGTTGCATGGAAGGGTGCACACCTGTGTTTCCATGAATGACTCTGGTCAATGAGGTGGAACTGGACTCAAGCCTCTACTAGGAAAACATAAGGGACCTAAGCCAACAAGGAACCAGGATACAGATCTTGGGTGGGGGTGGAGAGATGAAAGACTTGAGCTAACAAATTCAACCCATATTCCACCCATTGGTGAGAATGGGGTTATCTATATACTTCCAGGGTTGTTTTCATTGGTTCAAACTAGGCAGCATTTTGCTGTAGGCTTTCAGTGCTCTTGAAGAATTGGTCTCAACTGCAGAAAGTACCTGGGTTTTGTTTCATCACTGTTTATCATCTTTGGTGATTAGTTACCAAATGAGCAAGATCTGTTTAAATTCCCCAAAACACATGTGTTCTGAGAGTGAAGTGGTATCACAGTTCCCTACCTGTACTTTAATAACCCATGTGGGTTATAAATCAGTAAGGCTGAAGGTGAGAGGGATACATGTTTACAAGATGATTTGCCTGGGCCTCTTACTGGTGAGTTGGGTTACTGATCCTTGCTGGGGCTCGAGAACGTTTGGCAAGACAATCACTTGTAATGTGACCAGCCTGGCTGCAGTAGAGGCACAAGTGAGCTTCTTGCTGACGGGCTCGTTTGGCTGGAGTGAGAGGGGATTGGCTTCCCCTCAACTGTATCATCTCATCTTTGGGTAGTGGATCTGTGGGGCTGGAGAGGGCTTGATGGTGGCTATGGGAAGCCAAGACTGTGAGCTGCTCCTCTGCTCGAAGGAGCTCTGGCCTGCCACTATGTTTTTTGTCCAACTGAATACACTGAGTGATCAGATCAGGGAGGTTGTCCATCATGTTCTTTTCACTCACCTCATCCTCAACAGGGGCAACTAATCCCTCTTGGAAGTAGTCACACTGATTGGTTTCATTGCAACTCAGATTTCGAGCAGGGAGTTGGAAACTGATCACATCCTGCTGGGAGTTGTCTCCTTTGTCAGTCTTAGCATTGACCAAAGGGTGTATTTCCTGTTTCACGGGCTTGCTAACTGATGGTTGGAATTCAAGAACAATGTCTTCATATTGCCTCATCAAAGTATTCTGGTCAATTCCGGACATGACACCACACTTTTCCATCTGCTGAGAAAGGCAGTCAAAAAACAACTTAACTTGGGTGTCATCTGCAGTATTGGAGACCATGGGAGTTGTCAAATAGGTAGTCACCTCAGCAAGAAATCCTGAGAGATTGGCAGGGACACCATGAAACTTGGAGGGATGCTCTGATGAGAAGGGTACAGGCATTACTGAAGTGGCCATACCAGGCTTGACTTGACCCTTTAGAACATGGTTCTCCTCGGGCAGATGCTGCACTTGCCATGGCAGAGTTCGATTCTCCTCCTGAAGGGAGGGCTGCTCTACCTGCAAGGCAGGTGGTGATTCCGGGTGTTTCTCCATTATATCCTCTGGAATCAAGTGGAACTAAGAGTAGAGTACCAGTGCTGGAGCCCAACAGGCAGATGGTGGGTGTTCTTTGTGACTAGAGAGACAGTGTTATGAACTGGTAGCTATGAACAACTCACAAAGAGGAGCTGAGTTCAAGAGATGCCAAAAATCGATGTACACTATTCACTGTTGTCTCTTCTTCATGGAGAATGCCAGTGTTCTGCATATTCAGAAGAAATAAATTACCTTAGGACACACAAGGGTTTGGAATTAAGATGTAAGTATGAATGTCATGGTAGAGTCCTGTCCCACCCCCTTCCATGTCATACAGGGGCAATTTGCCCTCAGGCTAAGGCTGTGGATCTAACTTATCTTTAAATCAGAGAATCACTGAATTTTACAATTTAAAAGGACCTCATAAATCACTCAGGATGAACTGATACTTTTAGAGATGAGAAAACAATCCCAAGGATGTAAGGAGTTTTTTTTTTCTTCAAAGTCATACTAGTACTGCCAGAACTGGCATGTTCGTCAGGATGCCTGTCCAGGCAGCTCTCCTTCCAGGGCCACACGTGTGACCTTGAGTACAGTGCATGACCCTTGCTCCATAAATACGTGATCTGGGGCCCAGGGGCATCAGCATCACCAGGGAGGTTGTTAGAAATATGAATCCAGGGCGTCCCTGATGGCCCCCTGCAGCAAAGTGGCCTGAGTTTGATAGATTCCCCTGGCCAGGGAGCTGACCCACATGGCCCAGCAGGCCTCTCCTGTCTCACCCACTGCACCCCTCAGCAGTGTATTTCAGTCAATTCCCCTTTTATGCTCCCTACTCTATCTCTCGTGAATCCTCTCGGCCTGTACATCCATTACATCCATGCTACAATAATTCTTTTTTTTTT